TTGATCACTGAGGAAAAAATAAAGAACGAAATGAATGTGGTAGAGTAGCAAACCTAGAATTTTTTCGTCTCCATGATGACTGATTGGTGGTCAGAGTCTGGTGATAATCCAGTTTCGACGGTGGGAATATTATGTATTGTTGCATTGATTTAGTGTTCATCTTTTGAGATGAATCCTCTTCAGACGCACTGCTGCTGTCCACCTCTCGTATTAAATTCATAATACCATTTCTTCCATACGCTATGTGGAATCCTTCATTCAGACGACGTCTACAATTAATTATCTAATTAACAACGAAAAACAATGCGAAGGGAAACGTAAGCATTGTGGCCAGCAACGTTACAAACGTTTGATAGTCTGGCCAATCCGCTTAATCCAGCTAATTCACAACGAACAGTGAAAACAGATAAAAACATCAAATAGGTATTACAACGAGCACTAGAGCACATGGTTACTTGTTACTAGCACATCGAGCGGTTGTTTTGTTGGTCGCTGTGAGCGATCGGCGGAATATTGATTTCGTAGAGTGATGATTATTTATTGGATTGGTATCTGGCTGCGTTTGATTATGCAAAGTATTCAAGGCAACTAATTAAATACTCAGTTGTGTTCACTTGGCCTGCTCGCCCAGCCAGCGGGGTGGCGTCAATCAAGGCTAAAACAATGCGAACGGAAACGTGAGCACTGTGGCCAGCAACGTTACGAACGTTTGATAGCCTGGCCAATCCAGGTAATCCAGGTATTACAACGGACAGTGCTAAGAATAAGAAAAGAATACGAATAGTACTCTATGAGGCTAACGGTTAATTGTAACACAAACGAATAATAACATCCGATGCAAACCTCAAAATGGTATTCAAAATGTATTCCGCAGACGCACTTGTCACTGAGAATGCGGATGGAAATGCCTTTTGCAACTGCCAAATCTGACGGCTGAAATCACACGGCAATATTTTCACAAAGTACACAATTTTTTGCAAACATCACTTCCAGAACTCGAACCTAACCCGACACCCTTCTTCGCACCCCGCACTGCTAACCACCACTGCGCTATCGCGATCGCGCAGTGACACATAATCGCTCACTACGAACACGCTCATGGGTTAGTTCGATTCCCGTGAAACATTTAAAACTTTTGCACTATCACTAACAATAAGCTAAATGATGAATGAAACTAAATTTAAATAATTAATAAACAAATGAGCAAACGATAAAACAATACAAATAAAACAACCGAAATTCGAAAAACGAAACCAACCGACAACAAAGGTACTTCGCGATCGAATTGTGAAGAATCATTTGTCTGTTATTGCTCTTATTAGTATTATTACTATTATTATTATTATTATTGCTATTATTGCAATGGTTCGAAGTGGAACTGTGATTCATTTCAATACGAACAATACGTTCAATGCACATCGGTATTTTATCGTACCGAACCAGGAAGCGTTCCAGTGGTCGATTCAGTAAGATAACTGCATTGCCTTTCTATAATTGCAAATATCCTTATCATCTTTATTATTACCGTTATCGCTGCTATCATAATCACCGAATCAGAAGTAATAAACAATTCTGAGTGATACAAAAATAAGGAATAGAAATTTATAGGTGAAATGAATAAGGAACTGACCGAATTTTTAGTGAAATAAGTGGACTGGTCATCGCGTGCGTCTGAGAACTCTTTCATTACAGTGAAATATTTACAGCGATCGATGGTGATCGCTTCAACGGCTGCTATGATCTCGTTTATTATCTTAATTATCATTTACATAATACGGTTACAATTCAATGAATATTTGTTACGGAAGGATTTTATGCTAATAACAGGCAACTTACTTTGTTTCTGACGGATCCACTCACTCCACCAAGGAATGCGATCTTCAGTGCGACACAAGGTGGTTCCATTGTTTGTCGTATTATGTAAAAGAATGTCTTTTTAACATTGAAATTGAAGTCACCTCTGAAATTGAAACTCATTTATTATGCGACTAACTTCTAAAGATTGTTTCATGAACAAATAACGAACGCTTCGAGAAGTTTGACGTAAGAGAGTCGTTTGAGTAACTGGAACGAGGTGATACGTGAGAGTGTGTCCTGCAGGTTGCTGAGTGCCACATTGCACGTCACTGCGTTGTAATCAGCATTGAGCACATTCGGTCTCGTAAACAGATTCGACGGCAATCGCTGATCGTGCACCAGAAGCATGCGAATCGTGTGAGTGTGCATCCATTTTTGCCTGATTTATTCAACTGTTATTATTATTACTATCATTATTACTATTTCTACTCATATTCTCATTATTACGATCAGTCACAATTAGCCACGATTCTATTCTGGTTATAGTAAAGCGAATCAAAAAACTTCTCACCAGATGCCCTCATCTAAATCACACAGCAATCGCCAATATTCACAGAATCGATTCAAAGTCGTGTTCTGAGTACACTTCGTTTCAAAATCTCTGCAATTTAAACGCAATTCAAAATCTCTGCAAAAAATAATAGTTACGGTAATAAATGATAAATTTATTACTATCAAACGCAATTAGCTATGACTCTATTCTTGATGTTGCGAGGGGTGCTAGCTAGGCCATAGATATGATAATAAATAATAGAATAACCCACTTTGCAATAGCGCTTTTAAACGCATCCACAGTGGATTGTCTTTGAAGTGAGTTGAACCGTCGCTCAGATATCAAATCTTTCATCACGTTGTATGGAGCTTCGAATATTATCGATACTTTCACCTTTTCTCTGAACGCAATTGTAATGAACATTCAAATTAATGCATTAAAAAAATTAAATTAAAAAAATGCACCGATGTGTGGTGATAGGCCATGGTGCAGTGATTTTATACTCGAT